CGGGTCAATATTTAGGATACCTTTACTACAGGAAAAAATTTCATTCACACAATAACTGGTTCTGTCGAGTCGTCCTTGGAATTGTACATGGCTATCGGCCAAATCTTAAGAGAAGTATCGAAATAATATACAAGAAAATGGTAGGTCTTATAAAGGCTTACAGAAAAATCAGTAATACCATATGTCTATTTTCTAAAGTACACTGGTATTAACCATTTTTATCGAAATATTCAAAACGTATACCCGAGGTAAAGTCGCTAGTCATAAATAAATTGAATACTGTCCATATAATTTTATTAAGAACTTTTACCAGTGACTTAAAACATTCTCCATAAGAGCCACGGCTAAAAAAGCCACAAAGAGAACATAAAACTGTCGGTACCGCTTCTGATCTCTCCCCGTGTCGTGTCAGATTGCCTTCCGATCCGACTATGAGTGTCATTAATTGCTCTCTGCACCTGTGATTCAGCACGCACTTGTTCTCATCATAATATCTCTAGCTACTCTTAATGATATGGCCGCCATGGCTGAAAATTGTTTCGCAGGACTTTATTATAAAATGTACGTAATGCCTCTATAACTTTAACTCTTACATTATTAGAGTATTACCAGCACAATGTGAAAGGTCCTTTCTATCCCGTAGAGAAACTAACATGAACATCTGTATACACAATACACATATACCATGTACATTAGATTGTTTTAATACCACTTTTTTGTGACGAACATTTGGAAGTATGTATGTTTTGTCGACATAATTTTTTAACTTAACACATAGATTTTTATAGAAGAGTAAAAAGGTATACTAATGTGAATCTCAAATAAGTATACCTAATAAAAATTAAATTTACGACTATCCATATAGACCCAAAACTGCAATTGCTAAAATTTTACGTACATAATTTATATCTGAATGATACTTACATTGCGGGAGCTTACAGTGCATTTCACTTAGGCACTTTATACCATTACCGACTGAAATTTATAACATTAATAATATTTACTCTACTATGTTGGAGTTCTGAACGTCAGATTTTCAAGTAGCGATGGAGCTACGAGATAGGTATGCGAATATGAATTCATAAAACATTTTTTTTCTAAAAATTGTATAATCATTTGTTTGTGTACTATGTGAAAACTACCATTCCTGGAGTTGACTATATTTTCATTTAATTAGCATTTGTAGCTGTTATTAAAGATAGTCGTAGTAAGGTAAAAAAAATATTATTAACACTACAGTAGATATTTTATTGGAGTAATTAATAGGAAATGCCTTTGTGGTGGCAATAGCTAGTTATAAAAAGTATGACTATGATGAAGTGGTTTGACTACTTTTAGAGAACCTGACTGCGGCAGCCAGACTGGGGCAGCCAAAAAATTGCGCAGCCAGTTATAGCAGCCATAGTGACTGCCAGTTGGGACCATCCCGTCAAGCGATATGGACGTGGAGGATCTAATTATTAAGTTGTATATATTTTTGTAAGCCTTTTATAAAACTCTTTATTTTGATACCTCTCGGTAGGTTTTGATAAAAAAATATATTGGAGACATAGTATGGCGTCAAATATTAATCTTTAATTTTTGTAGCTGTATTTTAGGTTATAAATGACACAAAATAACTATTTATTCTTGCAGAATTTTAAATGGTAAAAATATCGCTTTAAATTATGTAACAAATGTTAGTGTACAGCATGTACCTACGCTCGTACGTGACAATTTTATTATTGCATGCAGAATACAAATAAGTAAATACATATTACTGTTAAACAACATTATTCGGAAAATGTGATGTTTAATTTTATAATCAGAATACATATATTTACACTATAGATGAATATGGAGATTAAATCAATTCTTATTATATTTTTGGAAATATATTTTTTTAAGTAAAACTTGAATTAAAAATAATTATCTGTTGTTCGTGACAAATTTTAATTAATTAATAATAAATATTAATAATATAAAAATAAATAGTAATAATAATAATAATAATAATCTATTAATAATAAGAGGCAAACCTGCATCTGAAACCAGGAGTCGAGGAGGCCGGCGGCGTGTGGAGCACCCCAACGGCCGCCGCCCGGGACTATCTATGGGCATACAATTAAAATATAACATCATATCTACAAGCTTTTTTATACCAATTACTTTTACTTACCAATTATTTACAAGGAAGTTGAAATTAAAAATGAAACAAATATTTTTTAAAAAGAAGTTACTAATAGTCTATGAATTTAATAAAATGATGAAGTATTAATACGCATACATTCATTAAAAAATGCTTTAGGACGGTGTTTTAAAACTCTGAGGAAGCTTTAATGAATGAAATGCATCGACGCGATAATAATTATTATATAGAGAACACTTGAGCTCATGTTAATGTTGGGTGAAAACATATAGATAGATTTTAATAATTGTTTATTTTTCAATCGTATAGTGACAATTAAATTATTAATAAAAATTGTTAAGTGTAATAAAAGTAGTCAAGTGTGAGCGATAAAATAATTCCTTTATTTTTTATGTTAGCAACTGTTAGTCGGTATTAGTTTTGTATTTTTTTGAAATGTTAGCGTACATTTTTAAAATTAATAGTACTATTTTATTTATTTATAAATAAATAAATACTATTTTTTAAAGTTGTAATCATAACAAAAGAATTATAAAATTATAATTATATAGTTAAGCCTAGACATCACCTCGTTTATATTTACAACTGACATTGAATGGATTCGGAGCCGTTCAGCTAATATGCTAATTTGAAGAATAAGAAAGCTCGGAGAGCCTATTGTAGATAATAAACGATTAACTCCACCCGCATATAACTGTACTTTTATTATTTATTCTTTATAAAACTGGATTTTTGACACTCACGAAAATTGGTGATGCCTTAAGAAGTTGTGACGGATTTGAACAAATAAATAAATGTTAAAAAGCTTGAGTTTCGTGATTTATAATTTATTAAAAAATTCATAGTAGAAAATTTTACCCTATAAAAGTTAAGTAGGTATTATACAACGCATAATTATATTTTAATGCATAATTTGACAAAATTTTATATATAATAGTACACACAATACTGATAAATAATTGTCTATGTAATTGAGTGTGTTAAAAAATATGATTTCAATTTTCTATGTTATCTAAAACCAATTACCGCTTTTTTAAATATTTTTTTTATAAAAATGTATTTGTTTTAATTTATGTATATATGTTAAATATTCTAAAAATAGTTGTCAATATTTACCTACATAAAAATGCGTGCAGTGAACTAATTAAAATTTAAAGTTTGTCTATGATTGTATAATTTCTAGAAAAAAAAACTTAACAATAGATTAAATTTCGTTTAATATACTTTTTAAATTCCTGGATTATTTAAATAAGGTAATTTTTCGGTTAATTTAAAATTAAATATTTATTTATTACTGTTCGCGTGAATTAAATATTACAGATAAATATTTTATAGATATAACTAAAAAAAATCATGATTAGAAAGAATCGTGGAAGAAGGTTTTTTTTAATTATTTAGAAAAATAAATAAAAAAATATTTGTTATAGTAATAGTATATTTTATATTATTACATGGCAATATAATCAAACATGGGTATCTAATACATATAATATTACATGGGACAAAAATTCTGTTGTCAAAACAGAAGAACGAAGTGTGATAGATATTAGTATGTGGTATCTATCCCTGAAGATTAACTATTCTGGGATATTTTACTAATGTAGAAAACAATATTGTAAAAGTTATTAAATAATTTCTGTTCAACATTATATCAAAATCGGATCAAAAAGAAGCATTTTGTTATTTTTATTTTAAAATGCATACCGTCGGACGGCGTTGATGTCTTTTATATGCACACACGATTTACGCTTTAATCGAACTTACGGTAAAAGTTATATATAAGTTTTTTCATACATACATAAATATTGTAGAGTTTGGTACTTTTTAACGTATTTTTAGAATTACTCTATAGCCAAGGAATAAAGAATAGATGGAGTATAAAAATTACATATATTTTTTCTGTTTTTATCCTATTAAATTTTAAAACGGTATAAGCATTTAATGACTTATGATAATAAAGTATGAAATTATATAAAGAATTGTTGTTAGTTAAATAGCTAGTTTTGTTCAAATTAATAAACAAGACGCACGTTGTGAGACACTGTAAGTAAATATAAACGTTTATCATATATCTTAAAATCTTTTAATAAGTACCTATAATAAGTCCAACAATCAGTTTGATTTCTGAACTCATTTAAATCAATTGTTTTATTATTTTCATATAAATATACAAATCGTGCCTATTTTCCCGAGTTTTACAATCGCGTAAACTATGCCGCGGCCGCCGGAAAACACTTTCAGCGCTGGGCTTTGAATAAAAACCATTACGCCGCATTTCCGCCTATAGTATGTTAAGATATTATATACTAACCATTTAGTATTAAGTAATCTAGTATCTATCTATAAAAAATAATTAGATAGGCGTAAAAATGAATTAAGTATGTTATGATTTACATAATATTACTGGGATCGCTTACAGTTTAGAGGTTAATTCTCTTTCACTGTATTGATCTCAATAATATCAATATGGATATTATTATTATTATTATAATAAGATATTTTTTTAAATATAAATTAGAAAAGTATTGTGACAATTTGTTTCGGCAAACGTTAAATTACTCAAAAAATCCGCACTGGGTAATTCATTTCATCACTGTCACGTTTTACGTGTTTGGAATCAATTATTTATACGCAAAATCGGCTGTATGTCGTGCGCACTATCGAACTAAGCAGTCACTACTCTCAGAAATCGTCATAGCCGGTAGCTACACTGGACTTGCATATTGGCGAGTTGGAGGAGGAGGATGGATGGTGATCCATAGCCGGTCGTACCTGGTCGCCCACGAGGTCCTCGACAGGTGTGATCGCGCAGCAGGCCTCCATTCCCGGCTGTGGCCGGGGTCGCGAGAGCACGCGGTGAGAGCGGTCGCTACGCGCGCGATCCGGCGCACGCCTGCGCGCACCCACTGCGCGGCACCGACTGCCGCCCGCCGCCCGCCGACCTCCTTCGCGGGGTTGCAACGAAAGTGATTAGGCTCTTGCGCGACTCGCCGCTGATAACGAGGGCTCGCCGCTCTACTCCGCTCTCGCTTACGCCTTGCGACTCTATAACTTAACCCTACACCTTCACTTTAATATGCCACAACTCACTAATGAATTCACGCTATACCATAGCGAAACTGCAATACTGCTAGGACTATTCATTTTATTTTGTTACAAATTTCAAAATATCAAAATATTATTTACGAGTATATATATGTATACGCAATTTTTAGTTTTAGTTATAATTTACCTTAGACTAGTAGACATAAATGGTGGAGTGGATGATAAAAATAATCTATCTAATGATATCAGATGTGTCTCTCTAGACTCGAACTCCAGAGTCGAATCGACCGAATTTCGGATAAGAAGTAACCCACTTTCGCATTGTCTAGCAATTAAAAATAATTCCTTACAACATACTGGATTCTTATTGCCTTATAATATTATACTAACGACATACCTTATCGCTGGGTGCCTTATTTTAGTCAGTAAACATAAGTAACATAATTTAAATGTAATAATAATTGATTTTATTATTACACTTAAATTGCGAGCTTTAGTAATAAAAGTAATAACGAAAGTTTGTAAGTTGTATGTATATTTAAGTATAAGAAAACAAAAGCACTTACTAAGGATTACTTATTAGGTAAGTACCTACTTAACAAGAATATACCTACTAAGAACTTTACTGAGAACATACTATTTATAGCAGATATCAAAACGCGCGGAGCTTTTTTCAACACTTCCTTCAATCTTAGAAAATATAATGAAATAACCTAATGGAATATTTTTTGCAATGAAAATGAGATTGTGATATTGAAATAATTGTGTTTTGTTAAGTTCGTTTTATTAAGTTTAAATAGTGTTAAATAATACGCCTCAAGTTAATATGTCAATATAATTTAATATTGTCATTAGACAATATTATATAGACATTAGTTTTTATTATATAGACATTAGTCTATATAATGTTAATCCTTCAATGCATATTCACAAACATCTATTTAGAAGAAGTTAAATTTAAAATTTAAAAAATACCTCCAAAACAATAATCTATTCACCGAGGTCATTACAGTGAACCTAAACATTATATCTCTGCAGTATTTTAGTAAAGAGTTCAGTATCTTGCAGATTCCAGGAGACGCTGCAGCATCAGGCCGAGATTACTATATCGTTACAATATCATTGAAGTTATCGAATACCAAGTTTCAGTTGGATTAGATGTGTGGAAGTTGCTAATTCCCTTTTGCCAGCTGAACAACTGAACGGATTTTCTTGATTTATAGCTAAGAACACTCTCGACCTAGTCATCTTTCAAACAAAACAAACTAAATTAAAATCGGTTCATCTATTTGAGCGCTACGAAACCATCCGATAACCTATTACATATATTTTAAACACACAAGTTTTTAAAAGTGTATGATTATAATATAAAATTCTTAAATTGAATACAATATTCAATTGTGAACATTTCACTATAAATTATAATCTATCACATCTCGTTACATACTATAAAGAAACAAACGTATTAATTTGTAAGGGGCTTCGCTATTTTTGAAAACATAAATCGTGCCAGCTAGAAAGAAAATGAAAAAAATCGGGGTTTTTATTTTTATAATATATTTATTTATTGGCTTTCGGTGTGCGCGCGCATTGTAAAAATTTTACTCTCATATTTTTTTCCAAACGAGCCAAAATAAGTATTTAATAAAATAAATTATTTTAACAAGCTAATTTAACATTTAAATTAGTATTATTAGGGCTTTTTAATATTAATTTTTTTTACCTTAATAATAGAACAAATAAATGCCTTCGTAAATATTTTTCCTTAAAGAAATGCTCTAAAAAAATACATTAATTTAATTACTTACTCCGAAATTGCTATAGCGCAGCAATCGCTCACAGTAGGCAACAGACGAACCCATCGGTCGGCGGTGTCGTTTCAAACACTTTAAATTCTTCGATTTGACATAATGGCGATTGGCGCGAGTATGAAGGATTTTTGCGTCATAGAATATAAAGTACAAACTAATAAAGTATTTCTTAACATTGAAAAAAGAAATAACAATTTCCCAAATTTTTTATCTGATAAAAGAAAATTAACTTTCTAATTATTTGCTGTTTTTTTATTTAGCAAATATTTCAAGTTATAAGCTTGATATGAATAATTAAAATATATTTTATAATGATCTAAAGAATAACAACTAAGAAATGTTTTGACCGATGAGCTTTAAACATTTGATTTTGTATGGTTTTCATGGCTTTATTTATTAAACAAGACGCGATGTCATTTCAGCGATTTTTTTTCTGTGTCTATGGTAGGGCTAGTGTTGTACCTATGCCCTTGCCGGGACAGTGCGATGTTGCCGACTTAAGCTAGGGTCGACAAACTTATGATGTAATTGTGTTTATTTTATCATCCACTTTTATTACATTTATTTTGTTTGGAAAATGCACTTTATTATTTTAAGTATATCTTTACATTGATATTTTTTTATATTCTTATATCATCCTACACTATCTGCACTTGAAAATAACGTTGGAAAAGCGATATATAATAAAATTTTAAAAGTTGATCGTAACCTCATGTAACCATAATACCTGAGCTTTTCAGACTATTCTGGTAAGTCAATTTTCAACTTTAAATATCTTGATAGTATAAAAAAATACAGTCGAATTGAGAACCTCCTCCTTTTTGAAGTCGGTTGAAAACAAGATAGACCGTTAATTAGACATAATGTTCTATTATACGAGTAGACCTATGAAGTTTGTGTAAATTTCCAAGTTCCATTCGGGGCAGAGTTTTTAGCTTTTAAAATTTATTATTTCATGAAGTCTAGCTAGACGCTATATTAATTAAACAACAAAATAAACTACTGACGAAATAAAATTTTGAAAATATCAATTATTCAATTCGATTTCTTATAATTCAGCTATATTCATTTTCCTATACATATAGGTGAAATCAACTAGATACACATTCTCTCACCGTATCAGTTATAAGAACCGATAGTTTCTTATCAGTGCGGACCCGTTTATATACTACCTGCATAATGCTTACCTATTATATCTGTATGTCTACAATATCTGTATGTCTTCTCATTTCTGCTTTCACTACTCGCAGTTGCGACTCGACCGGTGTAGTTTTTCTTGTGAGAATAGACCATGCGCATACTATGTTTTTTTATAAATTTTAATAATACGAGTATAATATAATATGCAAAACTGTGCAAGCCTAATGTAGAGTACATTATACGTTTGTAGTTGTACGTATGAAGAAACACATTACAATATATTTTAGTATAGTTCCATTTATTATTATGATGTTATTTTGAATATAACTACTAATCTTTACTTAATGACAATACTCAAAAGAGAATAAGTAGTTGTTGTAGCCCAGTATGTTAAGTGTCTGTGTGGCGTTAGCTGTCGTATGCAACTAAGGTCATGCGTCCGATTCCACGGGATGTACAATTGTACATCCCAACTAAATCCTCCTCCGTCATATATATATATATATATATATATATATATATATATATATATATATTTGCATTGGTCATATAAATATTTTCTCTAGTCGAGCTAAGAATTTCAAGCTCTTAGAATCAGAAGAAAATATTCAAAATGAATAATTTATTTGTTAAATAAAATTATGTAATAAATGAGAATGACTACCGACAAGCAAAAATGACTTTTTCTACTTACATGAATATAATATAAAAAATTAATATATCAAAAATAATCGAAATATGATTTATAAATAAAATAAAAAATATACATATCTCAGTGAACTTTAATGACAGCCAAGCTGCACTACAAGCGTTAGACTCAAACACGGTCTCATCAAAGCTTGTAGAGAAGTGCGTGGATCAACCTCTTGGAAGCACCAACCTCTCGGAGCAAAAAGGAATAAAGTAGTTTTAAGATGGGTACCGGATCACGCAGGGGTGATTGGCAACGAATGTGCCGATGAGCTCGCTAAAGAGGGAGCTCTTGGTATGCAGCAGTGTCCTGAGCCCTTCTGCGGAATACCCAAGAGCTTAGCTCAAAGAACCCTAACGATAGCGTGTCTCAAGACTGCAAATAAGTTCTGGACTTAATCAAATGGAATGATTCTCTCCAAGGCACTAATTAATGCCTGCGACAAAAGGTTTAACAATCTTATGCTGACGCTAAACAGAAAAACCTTACGCATACTGGTAAGGACCTTTACTGAACACTACTGCTTAAATAAGTACCTACATGTTCAATCTGGGGCTGAGTGAAACACGAACCTGTAGAAGATGTATGGAGGAGACGAAACGCCGCTTCATCTTTTACGGGAATCTGAACATTCCCGTAGAAGATGAAGCATTCATAACAGCATTCATTTAGAAAAATCATATTCATCTAGAAAAACAATTTCTAGGCCCAGATGAAATAAAAGAATGTAACCCTAAAAAATCCTGCAATTTTTAAACATCAGTAGGGTTTAGTGAGGCACTCTACTCTAAAATGCAGCGATCACAATAGACTATGGTCGCAGTGAAATTTTATATCCGCAAACATGAAATAAAAAAAACCTTAATGATACAAAAAAAAACTTTTTTTCATAACGCGCCAAAAGAAGTATAACTTAAAAGTATCTCGTTTTTTCGAAGAAAGTAAAGTGCTAATGTATTTTTGTTACAGTTAAGTTATACTTCTAGCTAGCTGGCTCATTTTTCGCCCAAAGATTCGGCATTGCCATTCAGCGGGGAGAACGTGGCTTGCATATAGGTATATATGGTAGGTATGAGAATAGGACGTAAAGTATTTTTAACCCCTCTACCCCTACCCCGCATTTTTTAATCGCGATTTTAGTATTTTTGATGAACAATATTATTTGAATACATTTCTTTATAACATAAAGCCAAAGAGTTTCTTTTGTAGATTGAACGCTGGCGTAGTCGCGGGTTCTGCTAGCATTATATAAATACATAGGACGAACCCGAGTTAAGCGATGTCGCGAGTCGGTATATAACATAAAGCAAAGAGTTTTTTTTTGTAGATTGAACGTGGGTGAAGCCGCTGGTTCTGCTAATAAAATTATAGAATCCTTTACTCAATGGACAATTTTTAACACAAAAAAAAATAATATAAATATAATGGGTACTAAAAAAAATTAGCCTCATTGTACACTTAATACATTTTTAATAATCAATTCTATCGCTTTTCTTAGGGTTCATAAAATTATAAAAATATCCTTAAACCATAACCATCATCTTTCATTCTCATCTTCTTTTTTATTCTTTTTTTTCACAGTTGTGGAAGATTGTGTCTGTTGCCGAAGAAGTGTTCATCTGTGGACTAATCTTCAGCGTAAAGGCCTATTAGACTGTGGTTATGATGCTGAGTGAGATAGTCAAGCTCTTCGAGAGAATCCTCGCTACCCGCCTCATTCACCATCACGAAGAAGTGGGTCCGGCCACTTGACTGTGGACTCCCTGAATGCCTTAATGCCTCAGTGTTTGGCCCTTCTCCTAGCTGTCTCATTGTATGTGGCCAACGTCTTCAACTCCTTGTCGTTCGAGACTCTCTGAGAAGTGCTTTGATAATACCTTTCTCTACTGATGTAGGATGGAGGTTCGGGCTCAGATAAAGTACCTGGCTACCTAGGTACCTGGATCTACCTGGTGGAGTACCTGGCTACCTAGGTACCTGGATCTACCTGGTGGAGCACCTGGACCCTAAGTGGACTCTGGACGTCTTCTAATTCGCGTTACCGAAACAGAGCGGGCTCCTGCCATACAGTGCCAAATGGTAACGACACTTCTGGTAAGTGACCCGCCTTAGGAAGTCCAGATGGAGGTGCGTCTCTGTAGCAACCACACAACTTCCTGTTATAGCTCATATCACACTAGTAGCAGCATGATTTTGCTGTCTATGCAGCTATATTTTTAATTTTTGATCTTAACATATTTTGGCGGATACGGTCTATATAATTTTATTTTAGGAATCTAAGATAAGTTTCACGTAAGATAGCAGATAGATATTAACAGGAATAACTTATTTTCATATATATTTTTTTTCATATTAATTTATTTATTTCATTTTAAATCATTGAATTACAATACAGTTGTTGCTTAATGAATATACTCTATATATACCAAATTTTCAACATTTCCATTTAGTAAATTTAAGATAAATCTATGTAGCTATACAGGTTCCCTTGTTGCTGCTGATCTATCACTGATATAAAATGTGCGGTGTGGGGGGTTGGAGCTTAAAGTACAAATATTGAAGTAGAAAATTAAATAAAACCTTACAAAATATATGTGAAAATTAAATTTCTTGCACTACAATTTTTAGTTCACAAAAGTAAAGTTCAGTGCACAAATTTTTTTTTATCGTTGACGTAACGCTTAAATACATCATTTTTATACGATGTTTAATTTAATAAAAGCATAAACGATTGTAGAATTCATCTTGTCTGTGCCCCAGATTTATCAAAGAAAAACGCCTTCCATTCTCGAAGAGCTACAAACTAACCAGTGTGATATTGCTAAATTGTTTTAATATCAAATAGCCAATCAAAAAGATCGTACTTTAATTTCCTACAAAATATTTGAGTATTATCCATATACTACGAACATCATCTTTAGTGGTTACTAATCTTGTGGGAGCTATCAAGGCTTATTTAATAAAGTATTCAATGCTCAATACACAATTTAATCAGGGAAATCACAATGTTATAAACTTAAAACGGCAATTCTAATAATTTTGTGAAGCAGCTTTCAATTATAATATCAAAACATCCACCAAGATCAACCAACTTTACTATACCACGTATCTCCAATGAATGTCGTGAAGGCGTCTCCATCCCGCTCGAGACGTAATGTCTGCTCTAAATTTAAAATAACTTTAAAAGCAATAAAAAGTAAACTCAATTTATGGAAAACATAAAAATAGAAGTACAATTGATGGCAGATTCGACAGTTTACTACATGTCCAGACTGATGAAGAAAATACTTATTGGAGAAAAGTTTTAAAGAGATTGTTGTCGTAGTGAAGCGATTATGTACAAAACGCCTCGCTTTCAGAGGAAATAAAATTACGGAGAAGTTCGAGTCGGACTCGCCCACCGAGGGATCTGTACAAATTTGTAGGAAATCTATTTAACTTTAATTTCAACTTTTTTTTTATTTTTTGGAATATTTCCTTTATTTGTGCTGTAAGACCTTGCTTGTTTGCGTGATTCTAGATCAACGGAAACTATCATATAGGTTTTCGACCCAAAACCTATAGGGTACTTCCGGTTGACCTAGAATTGTCAATTTTGGTTAAAAGCAAGGTAAGCAAAAAAGGTAAAGCAAGCTAAAAGTTGAAAATGAAGGTAAATTTGGGTATTTACAAGTTTTAGCAAAAATCTAAATTGGCCCACATCTTTTTATCGTGTTGACTCAAGACCTTCATTTTTATACACCTAATAGGGACTATAAACCTCAGTATCTGGTATAAATTTCAACTTGCTGGGTCTACCCGTTCCTAAGAAAATCGGTGGTGACACACAGACAGACAGATGGACAGACGGACAGACGGAAAAGAGAGTGATCTTATAAAGGTTCCTTTTTTTACCTTTTGAGGTACGGAACCCTAAAAATGAAAAGTTCTGTGATCCGCATAACGGAAATTATTGTTTAATTTTGGAACTGTTAGCTTAATTCGATCCCTTTTTATCCAGTCATATTGCACCTCTGTCTCCTAATAAGGAACTAAGTCATTTTAAATCTTTCCAAAAATGTACAACCGAGTCTTTCTAAATCTTTTACCGATTTTCTATTTGCAAAATCATCAATTATATTGTCGTTTGAAATCTTGTTCATTAGTTATGATTCTACGCATGAAATAGCTAAGGCTTAAGCTAAGCTAAGCTTTTCTTGGCTCTTAAATAATTTTTCACCACTATTTAGTAAGAAAAGCTTCTCTTACCCGAACAATTTGTCCCTGGTGTACAATGAGCTATATCCAAGTTTTGGATAAACGTTCTATAAATTCTGTTTTTGCAGGAGGGAAGATGGACTTTCCAATGATTCAGAATCTGATTTTATCAAAATTCTTTCAGAAGACAGATGGCATTGAAAATGAGCGCATTCTTGAATTAAATCAGTCAATCATTAGGATACATTTCATATTCATTTCCAAGAAAAGG